ACTCTTTCCTGGTCAAACCACACGTATTTATTCTTAATCATCACGGACTTTCTAAATGTGCAATTGTTATTAAGATTTGTGTAAAAATCAATAAAGAAAAATCACCACAGAAAATTCTGCTATGCCTCAAGGTGGCTAAATGGGAGGCGTTTGCCGATTGCCGAGAGAACAACCCTTTCATCGACAAGGTTATACAACCCACCGCTATTGAGGGATCACTTTTTGGTTGTTTTGTTGGGTTTTGGTAATCAAATATAGAACCAAGGCAATATGCAGCTCTCAGATTCTTCTGGCATGTCGCCATGGTCAGGCAGTAGTAATACCTTTGTGTTTTTATCCATTTGTAAATATAGCCTTTTGACAGCATTTGTTTTCACCTTCCAGTACATTTATTTCTACTTTTTTTTTTTTTTTTGAAGTTAAAAAGGTGACTTTCTAGCTATTTTCTGTGTCTTTGTGTGGTGGGGCAATAGCCTTAGATGATGAGGTTTAGGTAAGTTTTTTTTCATCATGTTTTTGTGCCTACAGTGGAGGCTTCGACATCTCATGAAATACAGTTATTTCTTTACCAGAAGATTCAAAGGCAGAAATCCAGGCAAGTAACTCTCCCCAGCTATAGACAGCCTCCCAGATTCATGAAACACCACATCTGTGTTATATGTACAAACAGAAACGGGTGGAAAATATCTGAATGAAACTGAAAACTGTAGAGGAAAATACTGTTAGCGTGCAACCTGTGCAGAGATGCTTACAAAGCCATGTCAGTCAACAAACCCACTGCGAAACAGAGTTGTACCATCATTGTCAGCTCACTTGTGTCCAGCATTTTCAGCCCCAAGATTATGTTGTAATTTTTTTAAGAGGAAGTTGCCTAATTTCTACTTTAATGAATGTAAAATATGGCTCTTGGTAAAGTTTACATTGTTGTTCTGAAGCATTTTTTTTCCTTCTAGGTATACTGGTGGTGGTGCTACAAACACAGATATTTAATATTAACAGTTTCCCTTTCTACATTTCTGTATCCAGTGGCAAGTACTCTGTGCCAGTTATTGTGCTTTAAACTTTAATCCCAAGAGAGCTAACGTTCTGATCTTTGAAAATTTACCTATTTTCCTTGGGCAATAATAAAGTTCTGACTGTTACTCCAGAATGCTTTCCACATGCTGTAGGTATGTTCAGAATATGAACGTGGAAAAAAAAATTAAGCCCGGTGTGACATTTCATATCCTTCATGGAATATTAATATATTGTGTATTTTTATAAGTGTTGTGCAATAACTTAAATTACACTAGAGCTAGTTAAAGCAGAGGAGAAAACTTCGTTTTTCCAATACTGCTCTATCTGCACACCATATTAAACATTCATTCAGTGGGAAGGTAAAATACAGTTCTCCCTTAAAATACAGTCCTCTCTTTGTGGATTTCCAGCTTTCATCACTGAGACAGCTGTGGGTAAATTTTCATAATAATCTAAGTAACCAGTACAAATGTTGCATACAGTATATCCACTGAAATATAAATGGACTCGACCGGCTGCTGCCGCTTTTGCTTTTTGCATTAAAAAATAGTTAACTGAGCTCTATTTCTATAAAGAACATAGGTATTGTATTATAGCCGTAAGGAAAGAAACATCTAGTCTCGGAAGTGATCCCATATACTTCAGCCTCAGTATAGCAAAGGCATTCGACAGCTGTTTAGCTTTATTGAGATGCTGAAACCCTTGTTATTCAGTAGAACACTTTTTAAAAAAATGTTTCTTTGAAATTATTAAAGGTAACGTGCACACAAGTGCACTTTCACGCTGCCACACTCTTAGCGATGTGATGGATGTTATTCTGCCTTTATGCAGTTGTAGCTGAAATAAGACGAGCCTTAACACCATGGAAAAAGAAACTGGTTTAATTCTAGACAAGCTCTTCACTAAAAATAAAATGGAGAAAAAAAAAAGATAAGAAAATGATCATGAATCAATAAATTATTAAGTTGGCAACAGGATTTTAGCTTTCAACCTAGTTGTTTTTACTGGATTATGGAATTATTGAGTAAGTCTACCTATTGTTACCCATACAGCAAAAACAAGGTACGTAAAGGAAAAAAAAAACAAGAAAAAAAAAGATAAGCCTTCCATAGCACAGTTTTTTGAGCTCCAAGAATTCACAAGCCTCTAACAAAGTGTGCCTATGTTAAAACTTTTCAAAATTTTCCCGAGCAACAAGAGGTAATTTCTGGAATAAAAGTTGTCTTTTCTGAGATTCTCCTGAATGTGTGTTTTGGGAATTACTTAGAGAGAGACAGATTCTTAGCTTGTACGAGTTGTTTGCATTATCTTGTCTTCAGCTAAATCAGGATAATTTGTAAAGCAAGGGCAAGACATGATGTCAGTTATTCCTCATGTGGGAATGCACCATCATGAACCATTTTTATTTTGTTTTGTGTTTAGGTACAGCTCTTTGCGCATCTGCCTGCTGTATATAATACCTTACCTCTGAGTGGAAAGTCAGTGGAGCTGTGTGCAGAAAGTGTTGCTTAGAGTGAGCAAAGGTACCTGGCCTTGGCCCTGGGTGAACTGCCTGTGATGGACTTTTTTGGCATGAATTTTCATAACAGTTTTTTTTTGTAAACCTACAATGTTGAATACTCCTTTGCCCAAGGACTTTTTTTCGTTCTTATACTCATGGGTAAACTGAAAAACACAATATGTTATCTTATTAGCCACATAACTTTAAGCCACTTTACAATAAACAAAAGAGAAAAAGGGAATTGTTTTAATTTTAAATAATAAACAAGAGTCAGCTGCTGCTGTGAGGTACAGGGGTATGAATCTGGAGTGAACCCACTGAGGTGAATGGATTAATTTGGGAAATATGCAGTGTATGTGAGTGCAGAATTTACGTTTTTAATCTGAAAAGCCTACACTCCATTCCCAGAGTGTCAAATGTTTTCAAAGAAATCAGTGAAGCCTAATACTCCCTTCTGTGACAGCCCCACTGTGCTTGCATGGTCCTGGTACAGAAGACCTCCAGTGTAAAACTGAATCAGACCCCGTATTACACCAGGAGTGATGGGGGACTGGGCTGGCACGGTCATGGGTTTGTTTTCTAAAACAATGCTGTGTTTTCTGCTTTCTAATGGTTCTCTTTTTATCAAAGATCAGGCTGAGCTATTAACTGAAAAAAAAAATCATGTTGGAAAGGATGTAAAACCAAAGGCTATATATGTATATACAGTATGTTTAAAGCCTTTTATTTTTATATTTTGAATGCTCTAAATTAATAAAAGACTAATTATAAAGCATTTTGCTTTTAATTGTCAAAATTATCTTAGTGTCTTCTCTTTGGATAAGTACTGATAATGAAATGCAACAAGGGGGAACATTTGCCTTAAAATTATAAACTGTAACAGAGCTAATTTTATTGATTTTAGCTATGAAGTAGCATAGGTATGAGAAGTCGCTGTTGTCAAATTTAGACAAAAGAGAGGTTTATTGAGCATGTCAGTACAAGCATCCTTGAAAGCGCTGAGAATGCATTTCTATTTTTAGCTTTTTGTTGCTTTTCTAATGCATTAAAAACAGTCATGAGATGAGACTTCACATGTGAACTGTCATTTTCAAGTAACAATCTGGAAAGATATTTCTTTAGGATTGCTGGGAAAAAGGTTTGTACCTCAAGAGGAAGAACATTTAAAGTTAACAATGTGAATGTAGTATGGGGTGATACAGAAACTTTCAGCAATTGCAAGATATGCATTCATTTGTCAACAAACCAAGTTTAGATAATGGGAATGTTTTATAACAGAATAATGTGTAATTTGAAGTTGTTTAAAGAGTTCTTGAAAAGAAACTGTGGAGCAGCACAACTGCACGAACTGAAACGATGTCTTCAATTAGCATAGCAGAAATTATCATATTTCACAGAGCTAGTTAGAATGGCTGGTAAAGACAGGAGTACATCACTGAAATATTTACAGTGACTGGGAAAAGCAACAATTTTAGCTTTAGAGCAACATTTTTTAGCTACAGAAAGGTGCATTTCTTTGGGGTGTATGGCTAGCTAATTACAACTGCAGATGTGCTATCAGTCTAGAACACCGTTTATCCATCCCATGATGGTAATGAAAGGCTAAAGAGGCAGTCAGGGTGCATTGAGCACTTTTATCACAGGACAGCTCTTTAAGCAGTAGTATACAAAGGCAGATAAAAAATTCACAGTGAAATCCCATATACCTAAAAGTATTTTTTTCTGTTCATTCATTTACGCATTTCTTCTATGATTCCCACAATTGTTGTGCGCTTTTATGTAATTTGATTCAGACCAATTATTTTCAGTATCTTCTGTGACCTGAGTGAGATTTATACAATATATATGGCTAAGAACAAGTAGGCCAGTTAACAGTATGTGTGTTTTTAAGGTTGTGGCTAGTCGTGCTGTCCTTTTTCTATCAATAACTTAAGAAGCTTCTATCAGTGTTGAAATCATACTGGACTGAATTGAAACTGGACCCAAGATTGACGCAAGAGTTTGCAGGGTATGGGTCATGTTCTTAACCTCGAGTCAACGGAGCTGTCAGTTTACACCAGCTTAGTATCTGGCCCCGCAGGGTTATTTCATTTTTTTCTTCAAAATCTCCTGAAAGTTATTGTCTTTCCATTTCAGCTGAAATTTTTTAAGAAGTGTATTGACTACATAGTATAATTCAGTGTCTAGAATTTTCAGTTTGTCCTTGAAAAACTAACTTGTTCCTATGTCTCCTTTA